TTCAAATTAAAGTCCATTCATAAAATGTATGCAAACTTTTAAAATGACTGTATTTTCAACAAATACCCAGCTGTAGGATGAGAACAGTGATGAGAAATGATGAACATGACAGCATAAAAGCAAAGAAAATCTTGACTTTAAAAAGTTGGCTAAATCTTGGTTACTGGAGGTATTTTATAACCACAAGGGCAGCCAGCCTCTGGACAAAGTTTCCAAAGGAGGAGCAGAACTTAAAAAAAAAAAAAAAAAAAAGATAAAGAGGAAAAGACCTCTGCTCAAGATGGAGTAAAAGCAACCAATTTTACCTTCCCTCCTGAAACAACCAAAACCAGAGTATATGAAAGAGCAGCTTTTTCAAGACACTGGTGCCAAAGACACAAAGTGCCAAAAAGAGGTGCACAGATAAACCCAGAGGATCAGCAGAGGGCTCCTCCTTAGGAATTCAGTAGTAAGTCAATCCATACATGAGGCAAGTACCCAAAGCTAGGGCAGAGTTGTATTCCCACAAGCCAGAAAGGAACAACTTCTAATTCAGGGGCACTGGGGCAAATGCTCATAAAGGTCTTGCCTCAGTAGAAGAATTAGCCCTCAACTAGAGACTTCTCTGGATCTAATTACAAAATCAGGACCTCAAAGGATTAACCTATCTCCAAATTAACTATATTCAAGAACAAAGCTTAAAAATACTCAGGAAAACCCAAGTAACAAGCACCCAACAAGGTAAAGAATCCAATAAAAGATTACCAGGCATGCAAAGAAGCAGTGAAGCATATTCAGAATGAAAAGAATTAAAACTGAACTTAACCTTGAATAGCAAAGATGAAAGTATTAGCAAAGACACTAAAACAGTTATTAATTACAACTGTATCCCACATGTTCAAAAATGAGGTTAGAATATAAGATAAATATGCAAAAATCAATTTTATTTCAATATATTAGCAATCAATAATCAGAAATTGAAACTTAATAGCATTTACAATAGGAAAAAAATATGAAACCATGATAAACCTAACAAAAGATATGCAAGACTTGTACATTAAGAATGACGAAATACTGGGGCGCCCGGGTGGCTCAGGTTAAGCCTTCAACTCTTGATTTTGGCTCAGGTCCTGAGATCAAGCTCTGCACGGACAGTGTGGGAGCCTACTTGGGATTCTCTCTCCTGCTCTGTCTGCCCCTCCCCCACTCCTCTTTCTCTCCACCCCCCCCCCCAATAAACTTAAAAAAAAAACAAAACTATAAAACACTGATGAGAGAAATTAAAGCTGTACTTGTTCTTGGGTCAGAAGACTCATTATGGTTAAAATGTCAATTCTTCCCAAACTGATCTATGGATTCAATCCAATTGCAGTCAAAACCCCAGGAGGGTTTGTTTGTTTTTGGTAGAAATTGCCAAACTGGTTCTAAAATTCATGTAGAAGTTCAAAGGGCTCAGAAGAGTCAAACCAAACTTTGCTGGAAAAGAACAAAGCTGGAGAGCTAACACTGCCTGATCTCACAATGTATTATAAAGCTACAGCAATAAAAAGAGTGTAGTACAGGCATAAAGATAGACATATAGATCAAATACAAAGAATCCAGAAATAAAACCACACACACAGACAACTGGTATTAGACAAGCCACAAAGGCCATGTACCTCTGGCAGTGGAGAAAGGATAGTCTTTTCAACAAATTGTGCTGGGGCAACCAAAAGCAACAATCCATACCTTATACCACAGACAAAAGTAATTCAAAATGGGTCGTAAACCTAAATGTAAAGCCTAAGATTATAAAACTTCTAGAAGAAAATAAGGGAGCAAACTTTTGTGATCTTGGATTAAGGAAAGATTTCTTAGATACCACACAAAAGTATAAAAGAACAAGTGGACAAACTGGACTTCATTAAAATGAACAACTTCTCTGTTCTTCAAAAGACACCATTTGAGGCAATGAAAACAGACTGGGAGAACACATGTGCAATGTCTATTATCTGGGAAGAATTACATCCAAAATATATAAAGAATTCTCAAATTCGGTAACAAGAGAACAACTCAGGGGGCACCTGAGTGGCTCAGTCGATTAAGCGTCCAACTTCGGCTCAGGTCATGATCTCACGGTTCATGAGTTCAAGTCCCTCATCAGGTTCTGTGCAGCTCAGACCCTGGAGCCTGTTTCAGGTTCTGTGTCTCCCTCTCTCTCTCTGCCCCTCCCTGTTCACAGTCTCTCTCTTTCTCTCAAAAATAAACATTAAAAAGAAAATGTTTTTAAAGTTTTATAGTTTCCTTAAAAAGTTAAACACATCACTCCTAGGGAATAATCAAGGTAGATAAAAGCATTAAGTACAAAGACATAATGTTCATATAAATTTTGTTTGTAAAAGCTAAAAATTGGATACAATCCAAACAGTGGATAAACAAATCATAGTATATCCATGCGATGGAATACTACTCAGCAATGAAAGGGATGAACTACTTATACATGCAGCAAAAGGAATGAACCTCAAAATATATATGCAGCTTAAAAAGCCAGACCAAAAAAGTACATGCTATAGGGTTTCCTAGATATAAAACTCTTAGGAAATGCAAATTCTACTATGGTGACAGAAAGGAGATCATTGGTTGCCTGTGAAGTGGGGAGGAAAGGGAGGGTATTACAAAGGGGCACAAGAACATTTTTAGAATGATGGATGTTATTGTGATTGTAGTGATAGTTTCGCAGGTGTATACCTGTATCAAAACTTATCAAACTGTACATTTTAAATATGTGCAGTTTGATGTATATCAGTTACATCTAAATAAAGGTGTTGAAATGTTTTTAAAAACCCACCTAACTTGGTTCAATCATGAACGAACAGAGATTAGCAAGCTTATTAGAATACGCTCCCATCCAATACCAGCAGCACCCGTAATGCCCCAAATACAGTTTTCTAAATTTAACAACATATTCAGATGCCTGGAGTATATAAAATGTTCAGAAGCACAAATCCCTTTTTTCCTTGATTTCACCACTGTGCTTTAGACATATGAATAAATGATGTAAAACAATGTACACAGTGACAGCAGAGACAGAAAGATAAAACAACTTGGCTTTATAGGTCACAAAACACTCAATGACCTATGTAAGAAACCTGAATCTTGACAATGACTATCAAGAAATAGTTGTGCTCAATATCTAATTCTAGTCAGTGTCTAGTAATGTATTTTTAAGACAATTTAGATTGTTTTTTTTTTTTTCAACGTTTATTTATTTTTGGGACAGAGAGAGACAGAGCATGAATGGGGGAGGGGCAGAGAGAGAGGGAGACACAGAATCGGAAACAGGCTCCAGGCTCCGAGCCATCAGCCCAGAGCCTGACGCGGGGCTCGAACTCACGGACCACGAGATCGTGACCTGGCTGAAGTCGGACACTTAACCGACTGCGCCACCCAGGCGCCCCGAGACAATTTAGATTGTTAAAAGCAATTTAGAAATACTATAATTACCATCAATACCATCAAAAATAACTAAGCTAATGAAATATATATCTGAATAAACAAATGTAAGTTTGTTAGTTTAAAAATAAACCCTACATACAGGGAATACCTCATTCCCCAATGACTATGGCTATTTTTTTTCTTCAAGTTTGTATTTAAACTCCAGCTAGTTACCATACAGTGTAATATTACTTTTAGTTGTAGAATTTAGGGATTCATCACTTACATACAATACTCAGTGCCCATCACAATTGCCCTAATAGCCATCACCTATTGATCCACCCCCTGTCCACCTCCCCTCCAGTAACCCTCAGTTTGTTCTCTATAGCTGAGAATCAGTTTGACCGTGAGTATTTAGATGAGATATAGCAGATATTTTAAAACTTCCAAGTAGGGGCACCTGGGTACCTCAGTTGGTTAAGTGACTGGCTCTTGATCTCCACTCAGGTCATGATCTCACTGTTGTGTCACTCTGCACTGACTGCATGGAGCCTGCCTCCAATTCTCTCTTCTCTCTCCCTCTCTCTGCCCCTCTGCCACTCACGCTCTTGCTCACACACTCTCATTCAAACATTAAAAAAAAAAACATCTTCCAAGTAAACATTTTAAGTTACCATTTATGAGTCTTTGTTTAGTAAGTTAGGCACTTCCTTGTACACCATTTCATCAACATTATCCTATTTAATCTTAATAACCCTATGAGGTATTATCATCCCTATTTTATAGATAATAAAACTGAGGTTGAGATTAAGCAATCTGTCCAAGCTTCACATTCATTTACACTCAAATGGCTGCTTTTATCCATTCTAGATTTATAGCTCACGGTTATATTACTTTTCTTACACGATCATAAGCTTATTAATCAGCAAGCTATGCATTTTCTAAATAGTCATTTAAGCATTCTTACCCTACACAAGTAAATTTGTAGTTCAAAGTCAATGGATGACCTATCAGCACTGAATATACCCCACCCCAGTTTTACTGGCTTTATGCAAAGAACACACTCAAGTATTAAAGGCATATTATATTTTCCTAAGATCACATGCACTTTTCTGCAAACTACAGGACAATTACCTTCTTAACTTTGACAGCCACTACACTGGGTTAAAAAAAATTAGAAAAATTAAACGTTTGCTTTCAAATGTTGTTTCCTGACACCTTTACAACCTGTAGTGTGAACTGTGTAAAAGGAGATTTGATGAAATCTCCTACATCGTAAATAATCCAAAACCTGGTATAACGTGTTTAAGAAATGGACCTGGAGTCAGACAGATTTCAACTCTGATAATGCCTCTGCCATTATTAAGTAGCAGAAAGGCCAGGAAGGTAACTAACATGAGAGTGATTAGGAAAAAATCAAAAGTTGTATTTGGTGCCATGTTTGCAGCATACAATTCCTAAGTTGGTCTTTTAATGAGTACACTCTGGTTATAAACAAAAACTGTACCTGAAAAGTTGTGTGTCAGCTGTGAAAAGGGAAGGGCTTTCTTTTTTGCATACACAGAATGCTTAGCAGGCAGGAGAGCACCCAGGAACATCCATCTTACCTCTCCCCCAAAGCCCCCATCCTGGGGCAAAATGAAGTGTTTTCCTGGTACCCAGGAGTTAGAACGTCTATCTCCTACAGAAACAGAATAAATGGTGGCTAGGGTTAGGACCGGTTAAACCAAAGGTGAAACATGCATCTGTAAGCTGATCTGGGAATCTACTCATGCATAACGTTGTCACAGGAGAATACTTTGGAGTTCCAAAAAGCCAGCATACACACACCTTTACAGTACGACCCATTTTTATCCCAGCGGCTGGTGGCAGCCTTCTCCTTCCTCAACAGCCTGAAGATTATCTATCTCCAGGTGAATTTCAAAGAATAACATTCTGGTTTGAAATTATGTACGTTGCTTTTTAAAAATCTTATTCAAATTATACTCAAACTATAGAAGTTAGAAGGGAGATTCCAACCCTGTCATTTTCCAAAAGAGGAAACTGAGGCTCACCATCACACAGGCAGTTTGGCAGGCCTTGGACTACAACATAAGGAAACTACAACTCCAGGGTTCCTTCTGATAAACACTGTCAGGTGTAAATACTGTCATAGTAACTAGGGCTGAGCATTTCCAAAAGCAGCAGGGTCTCCTTCTAACCATGGTTTGAAGGCTTTTTTTTTTTTGGAGGGGGTGGGGTGGAGAAGAAGACTTATGAGTACAACACCAAAATTTCCCAGTAAGAGCAGTAATTTGGTATCACACCAACACAGTCCAAATATCACATCTCAAACACCATTTTCTGTCTGGCAAGGCCATCCTTCATCTCCAGGGCCATACCACCCACCACACCCTTCTCTACTTTTATCTGCCCAGCCTGTTTCTGTTAATTCCCAAGGCTTCTGCATACAAACAGGCTTGCTTGCTGTCTGACCCTGCCTGCAGACTTTACTTGGTGGATGTGGTCTGTGAGTCCCTCTGAGCAAGGAATACTGCTAACACTGGAGTGGATGACCGCTCTCCTGCTCTTTTCAAAGGCTCGTCTCATCAAGGAAGCCTCCTGTGATAAATAGGACAGTATGGTTTTCAAACTCCCTAAGTGGCCACCATACTAAGAAATAATTTACATGTGACTCAATACATACCTGCTCACCATGCTCTCAAATAACCCAAAAGTTTGACCTAATACTGTTTGTGGTAATTGGTACTCTTCATCTTATTCCATTTCTTTTTTTCTTTTTTTTAAGTTCTGAAGAGAAGAAAACAAATCTAGGGAAATCCAAATTTATTTCTCAACCCACTAATGGATCATGACCTGCATGTAATAATAACGTTTTGGGGCGCCTGGGTGGTAAGTTAAGCGTCCGACTTTGGCTCAGGTCGTGATCTCACAGTTCCTGAGTTCAAGCCCTGCATCAGGCTCTGTGCTGACAGCTGGGAGCCTGGAGCCTAGAGCCTGCTTCAGACTGTGTGTCTCCCTCTCTCTCAGTCACTCCCCAGCTGGCACTCTGTCGTGCTCTCTCTCAAAAATAAACATTAAAAAAAAAATTTTTTTTAAGTAGTAATGTTCTGTAACGTAAATGAGTAATTACTTTGACATGATACTAGAAGGAAGCATCAGCAAATATTTAGGCATGAGACTCCTCCCCGCCCCCGTTCAAAACATCACCTTCTCTATCTGCCCAAACAGAGATACCACAATGGAGAATTCGTGCCTGCAATACCACAGGTCAAGGATCTAAGAGAGAACCAACTTCAGGGAACTAAGGTTTCACTTAAGTGCCATTTCAGGAGAAGAGTGGGGTTCCCCCCCCCCCCCTTAACCATCTGAGCAGTCTTCACAATCTCACTTGTTCTCCTTACATCAGGCTGCCTATTTCTAACTTGACTGTCAAAACTTGAGGGTAGGAATTTTACTCTTCCTAAAAACCCTATACTCTGCCCAGACACATGATTGAAGCAGAATTTTCAAGGGGGCTGGAGAATAGAGGATAGATCGTAAAATGCCCACAATATACAAATGAACACGTATAATATCAGATGCCGTGAAGAAACAAAGAACTTCAGAATACAACTGAAGAATTACCAGCAAACACAATCCTGTACACTCCTTTTCTATCCCAAGTATGACAAACCCCTTCTAGTAGAAATGTGAATGCCTGATCATTATACTTTTCTAACTTAAAACAGCACAATTCCTTCAACTGTAAAAAAGCAGAATTATCTTCCAATCTTAGAAACAGACAAACTCGTTTTGCAAGGAGACCAGAAATTCTGCATTGGCGTACCAGCACCTTGACGCTTAGGTCAAGAGTAGTAACATGGACTAAAGATAAGCTTACACCTAAGCAAGCCATGGAAGACAGATGGTAAAAACAGACGCACTTTTCAAAAAAAGCATTTAATTATTTGAATTGTATCTACATGCGACTTTCAAAAACGGAAGGGAGAGCGCAAAACGCTTTGGCAGAAAAAAAACTAAATCCAAAGGGGCAATGCTTTCCAGATCTTTCCCATAAACGATGGTTCAACATACTGAGAATACAAAAACATTTCACCTCTAGGCAGAACACATGTTGAAGCATTGATGTGTAAAGTTTAGACATTGGATCCAGGCCACGGAAAACCACTAACAAATCCCAACTGTGAAGCTTCAAGAATTCCCATTTAGAATTAAACAGGACAAGGAAGTTTCCTTCCCTTTAGGAAAACCGAGCCTTAATTTCTACAGAGGTGGTGCAGCAGAAGAGGGAGGAGGGTGAAGAGGGTGCGAGGTGACTGATGAGAAGTTGGGAGGTGTAAAACGTAATCTGCGTGAGATTGGGCAGAAGCGGACATCCTTAAAACCTGACTCCTAGCAGCAATGGGCCTTCTAGGACAACTTTGTGCCTCTCTCACTGATCACAAAAACCCATTTTTACACGGGGTTGGTAGATCTCGAAACGCGGCCGGCACATGTATCAGACTGAGAACTCCTAGAAGCACCAAATGTCACACCTGCTCAAGCTCGCGCCCTCCCAGCGCCTACCCCGTTTTTTTGAATAAAGGGGGAAACCCGTTAAGAATGAATGAATGGGATGGAGAAGTCTGGTGAGAAGGCTCAGGCAGGGCCCCACACCCCGGACGCGCGCCAGGCGAGGGCAGGGACAGCTCGTCCGAGGACCCTAGAGGCACACCGGATGACACGGACCACCGTGGGGCCCCGGGGCGCGCCTCGCAGAACAAAGGAGGCGCGGGGTGGCCTGACAGGGGCGCCAGGCGGGGGCGGAGGCCGTGGGCGCTCACCTCGTCGCCCCACTTGAGCACGTCCTTGTGCCGGTCCTTGACGGCGTGGTAGATGTGCAGGAACTGGAGGATCCCGTGCCGCCGCACGTGGTCGGCGTGGCGCTTGGTCTCCTCCCAGCTCAGCGGCGAGCCCTGGGACAGCAGCCCCATGGCTGCCCCCTCCTCCTTCTCGGGGCTGACGGCTGCCGCTCGCTCGGGGCGCTGGGCGCGAGACGGACACTCAGCTGCCCGCACAAGACGCCGGAGGCAGCAGCTGCTCCGCCCCGCGGGGGCGCCCTCGTGCCGCAGCCGGCGGAGAGAGGGAGGGTCCGCTCCTCTCCCGCTCCCCCGCGCGGGTCCTTGCCGCCCAGGTGACCGACTCAGGGGTCTGGCGCACCGCACGGGCACAGAGGCAGAGGGCAGGAGGGCAGACTGGGCGGCTCTCGGCCAGGCGGCCTCGCCAGCTGCGGCTCCCGCCCCGCTCCTGCTCCCAGGCGGTGGCGACAGACCCCACCGCCGCGGTGCGGCAGCGGCTCCCGCTTCTCTTTGCCAGTGTCGTGCACTGGCTTCTTCCTACTTGTGACCAAGACCTGCGCCGCCACCGAGCATGCCCAGTCTTCCTATCTGCTCGCTCGCCGCTCCGAGGCGCGATCCGTAGCTCCGGATTTTATAGACTACGGGCGAGGGGCGGGGAAAGAAGGCGGTGCAGAAGAGGAAGCGTGGCCAAGCGCCCAAAGAAACACTGAGGAGGCTGAGGAGGAGGCGTGCGCAGGCGTGGTTGGGGCGGAGTCGAAGGGGAGGAGCTCACCGGGGGCCGGGAGAGTGAGATTCGCCCCTCCAAGCAAAGGAAATGTGTGGAAACTCGATTTCTCTAATCCAAAGAGATAAACTTTGTGTTGGAGAAGAAATGTGATCATTTGAATTAATGAACAACACTCTTTATTCTCTGTGAGGTGAGAAAAGCCCTCACACTTATTAAAAAACAGGTGAGGGCAGCCAGGTATGGTAATGACTCTGTAGCTTGGTAGTCAGATAAAACACCTGTTCAATTCTCGTTTCCACTATTTACTGACTGTGGGACCTTGGGCAAGTTATTTCTACACCCGTGTAAACTTACATTAATTCTATTTTTTATGTTGTAAGAGTGTGCACGATGCAGACGTGCATAGAGTTGATGACCAATACATTACCTGGTTATTAAGAGAAATACAAGCTTGTGTATTTATACCATATGTATATATATGACAAGTATTTCTGTATTCTGTAATTATTTGACCTATATTCTTTGCACAGACACCATTCATTGCAACAAAAGGGAATTTGTCAACATCTACAGATGGATTTATTGAAGGAATCTTCTCCAAAAGCATATCCCTCATCCAAACCTAATATTCATCCATTATGTGACTAAAATGATGTTCATGTGAGCTTACAAAAGAGTAAAGGATTTTAGAAGCAGCTGGGGTTGACCCTATCCTGGTGGGAAAGAGAAGGAAGGCGGTATCTCAGCCCCAAGTTATTGTTCAATAAATATGTGTTGACAGAGTGCTGATGTGTCAGCGAGGGAGAAAGTGACAGCAACTAGATCACACACATGAGGCCAAAAGTGTATTCCATGAACTACAAAGTTAACATTTCTTAAGCACTTATTAACTAACTGCTGAGAGGCTATATGACAGAAGTCCCTTCTCCCACACCCTTCCTATTGGATGTGCCCCTCTTAGGGCTTGGGGACATGGAAACCCAAGGTTTGGTTATAATCCTACAGTGGAGTGTGTGTATGTGTGTGGGGTGTGGGGGGGGGCGTGGATTTGTGGGGGTGTTTGAAGCTCAGGAGAGGTTTCAATCCCCAGCACATAGCAAGGATAAAAACCAAGCTTCATTCTAATTTGTTCACAGCCAACTCGACCTCAGCTGCTGCATCCACTCTTCTTTGTACCCTCTGCACCAACATCACCAGGCTTGTTTGGTCCTGGCTTTCCACTGACTTTTCTGCTTGGAAATCTCCACCTGACACATTCCTGTTTATCTGCTCAGTCCCAGTTATTCCTCTCCTTAATTTGGTTGCATTTGTACATGTCTCTAGTTCTACATTATGATAGAATAATTTTAAAAGTATCTCTACACTGACTTCCTCTGGGATAGAGTTAATTTATGCCTTTTATATCTTCGATTCTAGAAAAGTGCTTCCTCTGTATCTTACTTCCTAAGGAAGGCAGGTAGTGTGGGGATCTAGGAGAGCAGTGTTGCTCATGTTTCACATGCAAGTGAGACATCTAAAAGATCATTTTTTATTCTCAAAATCTAGCATTTGCATGGGCCTGCATTGTTCAATACAATAGCCATCAGCTACATGTGGCTACCGAGCATCTGAGGAATGGCTAATTTGTAAAACTAATTTTAGCTTTATTTTAATCCACTGAAATGTACATTTCAAACTTGAAATTCCATTTGGTTACTGGAAAACTTTTACATAAATTTGGAGCAGGTTGGGAATATGAATTTACTTTTTCGCCTGTTAATTTTATAAAATGGAAATACAGATCAAGTATTTCCATTGAAATCTTAGTGGCCTAAGAGACCTACTGTGAGTGTAATACACATACCAGATTCAAAGACCGTACAAAAATAAGCATGTAGACACCTCATTAATAATTTTATATCAATTACATGTTGCCCTAACAGTATTTTGGATATGTTAAGATACAGTATGTGCTTAAATTAATTCACCTGTTTCTTTTCCGTTTTTAAAGGTGGTTAATGGGAAATTTAAGATTATCTTTGTGACTCGCATTCCACTTAATTGAAACAGCACAGTTGTAGACATTTACGCTTTGCAAAGCACTCTTCTCCTACACCTGCTGCATTTCCTCACAATACCTGAAGCTGGACTCTTGGGAGAGTGTCAGTTTCATTTTAATGAACAAACAGGTATGGGGGGGGGTTCAGTAAGAGATTTAAGTTGAAGTCTAGCCAAAATTCTAGATAGCACTGCATGTAGTGAGAGCGCTGTAATTTGAGTCACTCAGTCCCAGGTTCCGGGTGACACAGAAGGGGGCCTCTCTTATTCGAATTCTAAACAAGCACCCCCGAGAGCCCCTGGGCTCAGGACAATCCCAAATGGGGTGCAGCATGATGGTACTATTTGGCAGTTATGTCAAATGTAAACTGTGGCCGCCACAGTGCCTTAATCAATTGCTGTTACAAGGCGAAAAAAATCCCCAGCACAGATTAACGGAATTACAGTCAACAGTCAATCCCCTCTATTTGACAGTGTTTTTCATTTTTAGGTTTACTTCTTCGGTACTTCTACGAGTAGGTTTTCAGCGACTAGCCCCAGACAGATCGTTCAGGGCTTTAATGACCACTAACGGGAAACGGTGCCCATAGACTGCAGAGTCAGCTCTTCTTCAGGCCTTGCTCAAAGCGGATTCCCGGTCACATCTTCCGCGGAAAAAAAGCCGGACTCAGTAGGCTCTAACCAACCGTTGCTACTGGCGATCAAGACGACGCTTTCACCTTTCACGCCTCCTAGCCCCGACAGTCGCAAGCCCCGCCTCCAGGGACGCCTGGAAAACTCGGACCACGGAGCAGTGAAGCTGGGGACCCGGAGCAACCGCGCGGCCGAGCTGAGCATGCTCGGAGGGCGGCTCGATAGCGGGAGGAAGCGGCGCGGGCGGCCGGCGCTGCACGCCGCGTCGTTGTTGTGATACAGCCCTCGCCACGTGACTGCGCCGGGCCCGCCTCCAGGCGCGCGGTGCCGCCTCCCCGTGACTCAGCACTTTGTGCCTGTTCTGTGCTAGAGGTCACTGCCGGGGATGCTGCTTGGGGCAAAGTTTCGGCCCTCCACTCCTGACACTCTCCCATCCCCCACACCAGGCTGCTGCTCCTAAGTGTTGCAGCAGCCATTTCAGACTCATTGGTTTTCGGGCCTCTTGAGTACGGAGGAAAAAAATCTATTTCCCTGTGGTCATGCCAGTTCCAATTTTCCCTGAGTCAGCAGCTCCGATGATAGCCTGGAGCTGACCGCCCAAAGATCAAACGAGGAAAGCAGAGGGACTTGTGCCTAAGGGTCTCTAAGGGAGAAATTTGCAGGTTCAGGCCGCTTTGCAGTCACCCGCCCCAGCCCTTACTGCTCTGGCTTGAACGTCCTCTAGATGGTATCCCAGCAGTCGCAGTAATTTACTCTTCATGGTGCACCTGCTTATGCCGAGCACTTTGATCTAGAATCCATGGAACAATCCTGGTTGTTGCCATGTTTTATAGATAAGGCAACTGAGATCCAGTAATACTAACAGGTAGTGGCTACTCAGGGATCTGAACTACAGTGCACTTTCTACTACAACTCATAGTCTGGGTGGAGCTGAAGGCCTCCTTCTGTGGGGCTCCTGTCTTCTTGATGCCACCTCCGCTAAGCCCTCCTCTCCTCTGACATTCCCTTTCCCCACAAAAACCTCTGTTCTGACGGTGAGGTGTTTTAAGATTTTCTTGCTTTGTGTTTTAATTATTGGTAGAAACAACTAGTTGTTTCTCAACTCAAGTGCATACAGTACAAAATGCAAAAGATGCATAAAGCATTTTTTCCCTACCATCTCATTGTACTTAGAATTTGACTACATTGAAGAAATACCCCAGGGCTTTATCACAGAAGAGCAGTGCCCAAAAGACTGTGGTCTTCACCCTGGCTCAGGGGAGCGTGCCCAGTCCTTCTAAGCAAAGTTGTGTTTGTTATCATCAGGGACACTTCCTTCTTCACCTGAGGTTTCTCTCCCAGCCTAAACATTCTCTGATGTCAATACCACTAAGTTAGTTGAAAAAGTGCAATTTTTTTTTTGTATTGTGTAGTATTTCTAACACATGTTGCTGAGATATGTTACTGTCATTCTAAGTCGACAAAACACTGAACCACCGTCAACTTGATTTTTAAAGCTGACTTTTAGTTCATATGGATTTTTCAAAAATAAAAATGTGCTTATTTTCATATAGTCACAAAAGGTTTGCTCCCTCAAGTGAGGCCTATATTAAGATGAGGAAGCTTGAGTGTAAAGAAGATGGATAGGAGTCAATGGGGTGAGATTAAAGATGTGGGAATGAGAGAGGATGCCTTTAGAAGATCTCTCAGGAGACATGATGGAATCCGGGACACATGTGAAATGGTGAGGTTTTTCATA